ATAATTGTTGCTTGAGTTGTTGATATTAAGTTGCATAGCATGATCATGTCTTTTGTAACTTAATTAATTTGGAATTTGCTCAAGGGAAGAAATTACATTGAACCATCCAAAATTTCACTAACGCCCATGTCATTTAAAACAATGATTGCCAAAGCAATCCATTCTCAAGAGATTTCATTGCATCCATATCATATCCATTCATTATATCTTTAAAAATACCAAACATATACTCTTTCGATCCTTAATATAAGACCTATTTAACTAATTTGATTAAATTAAAGAAGTTAGGTATGTTAGTTAACTATAAGAAATATGACTTGTTTTTCTTAAAGCACCATAATCATCTTCTTTAATATTCTTCATTCTTCTCCTACTTGATTATGATGGAAGGAGTATCAATAGGGGTAATTTAAAAAATTGATAAATATGAGAAATAAGTTTTACATTTAGGACTACGATTAACAATTAAATCCCACATTAAGGACAGGAGGAGTAGTATGTTAGGATTTTACCATTCTTAATTTACATTGTATTTAATAAAAACCCAAACTATTTTCTAAATTTTTTCTAGAAGAATCCCACGAAATGAAACATGAAATTATTAAATGGCAAATAAGAAATTTTTATGAAAATATGTTGTTAATTGCAAGTTTAGTATTATCAAAACCTATTAAAGTGTTGTTATCAAATCTAATTTATGATTTAATAATTTTAAGTTTTTTTTTTTGTGGTGTCTTATATTTTTTAACACAGGTTCAGAGGGAGCATTTAGCGTTGAGGGAATGTTGGATTAGAATAGGTTTGCCTTGGGAGTTAGTGAGGTCGGTGGTCCCTAGAATGTGACCTGCTACTATCCCTCCAAATCACATTTCAGACATATGCGTCCTTCCAACCCTTCCTATTTTGCCTAAAGGAATGACTAGGGATTTTGGAATATAACCTTGGACGCTTGATTTATTAAGAAGGGGCTAGCACCATGAGTTGAAGAAATTGTACCTGATTTTGTTTGCTTATTTTACACAAAAGAGCGAACCTAGTGCCTGGTGGTACCCTAATAAAGGCATTTAATGGAGAGGGCCCATGCTATTAAACAAAAGTGTGATTAAAGGCAATTGATTGGATTGACAAGCATGTTCATCTTATATTGATACCATTCAAATTAAAATTTGATTGTTTAGATTTTATTTTACTAATACCCCCTCCTGTCTTTATTGTATAAAATACTGCAAATAAGCGAATTATATAAATCAAAAAAATTAATTAAAATTATCTGGAAAGTAATTTTGTGATATAAGAAGTAAGTACATAAAAAAGATATTTTGTCTCGACTTAGGTAAAATCACTTTTTTAAGTAATTTTTGAATTTCCCCGACTTCTAAGAGAATGTGAGAATTAATAAATGATACAGTGGGACTAACCACTAATGGGGTAAAAAAAAAAAATTATACTGTACTAAAATTTTCAAACAGGTTATGAACGTTTATCATGAACTGGAACATGGCATCCATGAAAAAACTTTCGTATATGTAAGAGCAGCGTGTATCTGATAAGAGTTGCATATAAAGTAAATTTTATAAATATCAATCTTAAATAATAATGGGAAAAAGACAGAAAAATGTTACTTAAACTTCATAATCCCCAAATAGTATGTTAAATTTGAAAAATCCCAATTTGGTCTCAAGAAACCAAATTGGGATTATTATGTGAAACGAAAAGACCAAATTGCCCTTCATTTTAAATATTATTTTTAAAATATCATAGCTCCTACTGGCCGGCCGGTCACCAGAGCTCTGGCGGCGGCGGTCACCGGAGCTCTGGTGACCACCCGACAATTGGTCACCGGAGCTCCGTCGGTCAGAAAGTTTTTTTTTGAAAATTTTTACAACTTCAATATAACAGTTAACAACTTTTGTAATGCTATTAACAACTTTAGTATAGCAATTAATGACAGGTTTTCTGGGAAATTTAACAAACTTCGGCGACCGGAAACAATTTTTTTGAAAATTTTTACAACTTCAACATAACCGTTAACAACTTTTGTAACGCTATTAACAACTTCAGTATAGCAATTAACAACAGGTTTTCTGAGAAATTCAACAAACTCCGGTGACCGGAAACAATTTCTTTGAAAATTTTTTACAACTTCAATATAACCGTTAACAACTTTTGTAACATTATTAACAACTTTAGTATATCAGTTAACAACAGATTTTTCAGAAAATTCAACAATTGGTCGTTGGAGCTCTGGTGGAGGAAAACAATTTTTTATGAAAATTTTTACAACTTCAGTATAACGGTTAACAACTTTTGTAACTCTATTAACAACTCTAGTATAGCGGTTAACAACAGGTTTTCTAGGAAATTCAACAAACTTTGATGACCGGAAACAATTTTTTTGAAAATTTTACAATTTCAATATAACCGTTAACAACTTTTGTAACGTTATTAACAATTTTATTATATCAGTTAACAACAGATTTTTTGAAAAATTCAATAATTGGTCGCTGGAGTTCCGGCGGAGGAAAACAATTTTTTTGAAAATTTTTACAACTTCGGTATAATAGTTAATAACTTTTGTAACCCTATTAACAACTTTAGTATAGCGGTTAACAACAAGTTTTTGAGTTTGTTAAAGGCATTACTGAAGTTATAAAAATGTCACTTTTTGAATTTTTCGAAAAACTTGTTAACTGCTATATCAAAGTTGTTAACCGTTATATTGGAGTTGTAAAAATTTTCAAAAAACTATAATTGTTAACGTTATACTAAAGTTGAAAATTTTACAACTTCAGTATAACGGTTAACAACTTTTATAATGCTATTAACAATTTCAATATAGCAATTAACAACAGGTTTTTTGGAAAATTCAACAAGCTCCGGTGACCGGAAATAATTTTTTTTGAAAATTTTTACAACTTCAGTATAACGGTTAACAACTTTTTTAACTCTATTAACAACTTCAGTATAGCAGTTAACAATAGGTTTTTCAAAAAAATTCAAAAAGTGGCATTTTTATAACTTCAGTAATGCCTTTAACAAACTCAAAAACCTGTTGTTAACCGCTATATTGAAGTTGTTAATAAGGTTATAAAAGTTGTTAACTGTTATACTGAAGTTGTAAAAATTTTCAAAAAAATTGTTTTCCTCCGCCAGAGCTCTGGGACCAATTGTTGAATTTTTCAAAAAATTTGTTGTTAACTGATATAATAAAGTTGTTAATAGCGTTACAAAAGTTATTAATGGTTATATTGAAGTTGTAAAAATTTTCAAAAAAATTGTTTCTAGTCATCGGAGTTTGTTGAATTTCCCAGAAAACCTGTTGTTAATTGCTATACTGAAATTGTTAATAGAGTTACAAAAGTTGTTAGCCGTTATACTGAAGTTGTAAAAATTTTCAAAAAAAAATTGTTTTCCTCCACCGGAGCTCCGGCGACCAATTGTTGAATTTTTTGAAAAATCTATTATTAACTGATATACTAAAGTTGTTAATAGCGTTATAAAAGTTGTTAACAGTTATATTGAAGTTGTAAAAATTTTCAAAAAAATTGTTTCCGGTTGTCGGAGTTTGTTGAATTTTCCACAAAACCTGTTGTTAATTGCTATATTGAAGTTGTTAATAGCGTTACAAAAGTTGTTAATGGTTATATTGAAGTTGTAAAAATTTTCAAAATAATTGTTTCCGTTCGGCAAAGTTTGTTGAATTTCCCAGAAACCTATTGTTAATTGCTATATTGAAATTGTTAATAGCATTACAAAAGTTGTTAACTGTTATATTGAAGTTGTAAAAATTTTCAAAAAAACATTTTCCGATCGACGGAGCTCCGGTGACTACTACTGCCAGAGCTCCGGTGACCGGCCAGCCAGTAGGAGCTGTGATGTTTTAAAAATAATATTTAAAATAAAGGGCAATTTGGTCTTTTCTTTTCACATAATAATCCCAATTTGGTATCTTGGGATTTTTCAAATTTAACATACCATTTGGGGGCTATGAAGTTTAAGTAGCATTTTTCTGTCTTTTTCCCAATAATATTCTGGCATAAAAATTAAAAATTGGGAAATGAAATCGGAACTCTCCAAATTATTCGAACGGGAAGACTAACCAATAACATTCTTTTGAAATAAACAAGGGCTGCGTGCTTATACTGTAAAATGAGAATTAGATTGAGTCTGTGGTTACAGAGGTTCAACAATATCTTATCACCTCTTATCCTAATTACAAAACCTTAATTTATAGTGTACAAATGAGGCCTTATTACTTAATGGTAATGGTAAGGTAGCATGCCCTTATCAACTCCCGTACATGGGGTGGGAGCAAAGACTTCCAGCGAAGATCGGGAAACTAATTAAAAAGAGGGGTTCGGTACTTGATAGCTTTAAATGAATTGATTATACGATTACGGAACTGTCTTCTTCTTCCTCCTCCCCCCCCGGGGGGGCGGGAACGTTTCAAAGCTTTAAAATTATCTCAATCACATTCACTTGCCGTACCTGTAATGAGGCGTTGAGTAGCATCCTCATCAGAAATTGACTGCAAATTTGGGTTAAAAGAAGAAAGGAAAAAAAAAAAAAAGATGGAGTGAGAGAGAGTAATATTACCTTTTGGTCTTAATTATTAGAACTCATTTATAATTTACAAACGAGGTCTTATAATTAAGATCCGAAGTAATAATTTTTTTTTAACTAAAAAAGAGTAATAACACTAGGGGAAAAGGATATTTGATCATGTCAAACCAACGGCAGGCAATTAATCTGCATCAATAAAGAAAAATATCATTAATTGAGAACTAAAGTAAGAGATATGAGCCAATAAATATCCATTAATATATAACATATTTTATAGAAAAATAACCCCTCATTAAGGGGTTAAAGGGTCAATAGCTGTAGGGTGAATCCTATAGCCAGTAAGAAGGGCCACATTCAACAAAAACAAAAAAGAAAAATAGCAAACAAATATAAGAAATATTGATTTGGAGCAGAAGTTGCATTAGACGCAGCCACAACAAAAACCTCCTCCCACTCAGCCCTCTCCCCCCTTGTTTCGTCTTCTATCTTACGGAGAAAGATGGGCTGACTCTTCTTAAACGGCGTAACGGACATCCAAAAGCGCCGTCACGGACTACCAGCATCGTTTCTTTGAGCACATGCCTTCATACATAAACCTGAAAGTCTATGTTGATGGCCTTGGAGCAGCAATTATCACTGGGTCCGAATCCCAATCCGGTTGACGCCGAAAGAGACGGAACCACTAACGGCGTCGACGTCAGGCCGCCGTCCACCGAAGGCGGAGAAGATGGGGTCAAAGCGCCGAGGCTGCCGCGCTGGACGAGACAAGAGATTCTGGTGCTGATACATGGGAAAGGGGACGCGGAGAACCAAATTCGAGGCAGTCGTAGTGCGGGTTTGCCATTCGGGACGGGTCAGCTGGAGCCGAAATGGGCTTCGGTCTCATCGTACTGCAAAAAGCATGGAGTGAATAGAGGTCCGGTTCAGTGCCGGAAAAGGTGGAGCAATTTGGCCGGAGACTATAAGAAGATCAAAGAATGGGAATCTCAGATAAGGGACGATTCGGAATCTTTCTGGGTGATGAGAAACGATTTAAGGAGAGAGAGAAAATTGCCGGGATTTTTCGATAAGGAGGTCTATGACATTCTCGATTCGGGATCGCAGGTGCCGGCGTTATCTTTGGCTCTGGCACCGGCTCCCGCGACAGGAACTGTTCCGGTGGAAAAGGGAAAACACAGCAGGGGAGTGGCGGCGGAGGAAGCGGAGGCTGATACAGAGCCACACTTGTATGATAGTCGGAGCGCCGCCGGAGAGGATGGTTTATTCTCGGATTTCGAACAGGAAGAGGCAGGAGTGAGTCCAGAAAAGGAAGCAGCGAGGAAGGATGTCTCAACACATACGACGACTGTTCCTGCACCTATTCCCATCTCAGGTTGGTTGGTATATAGTTGTACCGTACAGTCTCAACACTATGCAATATGTGTAGATGCGTAGATGTTCAACTTATTGCAGATTTTGAAATAAACTTTAATATGTATGGTATGGACTAAGGAGCAGGGAGGAACAAATCTCTGATTTTGTTCGCTTTTCGGAAAACTATGATGCATCCAACTATGCTCTTGTCTGATTACTAAATTTCTCAAATACGGCTATTTTTGCTTCCTGTTTTCTTCTTAATTTGCAGAGAAGCAATATCAACCACTTCTGCGTGGCTGTCAAGGTGCAGGAAATGCTCAAGGTAATGTTACGCAGTTCCACTGCCTTGAAAATTCATCTTTACTCCCTTTCTGTGATTGATTGAAATTTCCGTCATGACAATTATCCTCTGGCAATAAAATAATATCTATGATGTATGTTTTAGTGATTAACTATGCTTTACACCATCAAATGGCATGAGTCACTGGAGTAATGTACTTATTCGAACTTTATATGTGATCCAATGAGGCTTCAATGTTATGTTCTTTAGCCGCCTTTAGTTTCTGCTTACATTTTGAGATCATCTGACCTGTTTGATTTTATATCCAAAATTAATAGCAATAGGGTACTGGCTTTACATGGCATAATGGTGAACTTGGAGTTTATGGAGTTGAAATAGATAAATCAAATAATTCCATTGTTTCCATCGATGCTTCTGATTTTCCATGCTACAGATCAGCTCTCTGCTCATTTACATGTAAATTTGTTTCTTAATTATATTTGATCTTTAATAATGCCATAATTGAATCATTTTTTCCAGTTCTGTATTATTTACTCTTCTGGTATAAGCGTCCTTTATATTATATCCATCTCTCATGGTTGAAAAATCCAAGTTCTCAACATTGATTAACATGATACTTATTGTATTTGTATGGATATGGCGATTGGTCCAGATATCATTATCCAATGGGGTACTGCTTGCTAGAAGTTTTCTAGTTGCTTGAAAATACATGTATAACATGCATCGCTGAACCGGAATGAGATCAAAGTTTGTTTCATTTGAGAGAATGCTCTCTGAAAGTTCATTCATAATCATATCTCTGTAACTTGATCATCTGCGGCAAGTTGTTATTGAAAAATGGTATTTCTATAAGCTAAACTTTCCTGAGATTTGGTTAAAACATACATGAAAATCCTCATTTTAAGAATTAGACTTGACTCTCCTATTTATATTTTATTATTGAAGCTTACTGTCCAGATAATAGTTCCTTGCAAAAATAAAATAACTTAACTACTCTATAATGCTGTCATGGAATACAATTTTAAGAATTAGACTTCATTTTGAGAATGTGATTTCTTAAAATGGCATTTCTATAAGTTAATTTTTCTTGAGGTTTGGTTAAAATATACTCCTCTAATCCTAAATGTAAGACTCAATTTATAGTGTAAATTACATTACAAAATGGGTATCACATTTAGGACCATAGTAGTACTTAAAAAAATCCTCATTTTAAGAATTAGACTTGACTTCCATATTTACTTTTTACTATTGAAGCTTACTGTCCAGAGAATAGTTCCTTTCAAAAATAAAATTACTTAGATGCTGCATGGTGCTGTCATGGAATAAAATTACATTATCATATTAAATTTTGATAACTTGGGTATTCTCACTGTCATGTTGAGAATAAATTATACTTGTGCATAAAGCTAACTTCATCCCCGTGTGGGAAAGATTTTTGTAATATGCATATAATTTTCGAGGGAGCTGAGGGGAACTTTTTAAACAAGAGAGAGATTTTATATAATATAATCAAACTTGGGAAAAGAAACTTATTTAGCTGAAGTCGCTTTAACCTCACATAACCAGAGCTTTAATAACAAATTTTTTAGATTATAGTTTCGTAGATATAGACATTGTGCATGCCATTAAACCTTTTGGTTCAAGGTATGGCCGGAGCATTTCCCATGACAGGGCATTGGGCGGAAGGAGGTGGTGTGGTTGACATTAATGACATCCATGTAATGTATAGGTGGGAGCAACGAGAAACAGCGAGGCCCAAATCCGGAAATGGGTTCTACGTCTCAAGGAGGACGGAAGAGGAAGCGATTTCCACCAACAGATGAGGAGGATGAACTTCTGCAAAATCAATTGATTAATGTGTTGGAAAGAAACGGGAAGATGCTGAGCGCCCAGCTTGAAGCTCAGAACATAAATTTCCAGTTGGATAGAGAGCAGCGGAAAGACCATGCTAGTCACTTAGTTGCTGTTCTTGATAAGCTTGCAGATGCTCTAGGCAGAATTGCTGATAAATTATAGCGCAGCAGCAAGAAGAGTCAACATGAGCTTAGAATATAGTGTACATAACAGTTGGAGTCTTATAGTATATAGATACTTAGACAAATAGTGGTTTCTGTCATTCACCTATTCAACAATGATGATTGTCACATCTGTTTCCTCGTTTGATTGCATTTTCTGGATTTACCGCTTCTGTGATTGTTACTGCCGCCTCCATTTGCAAGTTGCGGCTGTTATTCTCTTCTTCGTGTTTAATGTACATTCAGATTATATATGATTTTCTTTCTCCGGTTGAAGTTTATTTCTCAACGTCCCTCTTCTCACTCGGTGGTTGTTAATTTTCTAACTAATATGCGTTTTTCTTTTCGATAAGTTTCTCCTGCAGTTATTTTCTCTTAATTTTCTAACTAATGACCATAAAGTGCGGGTAGTTGAGATTAGAATGTTAAAGATGGATGTATAGTTAAAAAAGAAAAAAAAAAGATCAAATTTTGGAGAAATTGGAGTGGCATTTATTAAAGAAGGAAAGGTGGAAAATTGTTCTAAGTAATTTAAACACGTTCAAAAAAAAGTCTTGGATAAGTTAATAAGAATGGTTGATCAAGCAATATGTAATCTTCTGAAAAAATAAGAAAGCCTAAGAAAACATTTGATAAAATTTGTAAAAAGATTTTTTAAAGAAAGAAACTTGTTAGAGAAATGGTTAAAAGCGGCTTCTTAGCCCGCACTTAGAACTTGTCAGAAAAATGGCGGCTTAGAAAATCAAATACTTTCTAAATCAGGGTGACACCCAATCTAAAAAAGTAAACAAAAAATGAAAGAAAAACAAAAGGACCCAAATCTCATAAAATTGCAAAGGCCATGATTTTGTGATATCCGATAAAATGGCAAAAAAAAAAAACCATAATTTTATGAGATATGGTAAAATCACAGAAGAAGTTGTGACTTTATAACATCTTATAAAATCTGAATCTCATGAAATTGGAAAAACAAAGTTGCAATTTTATGAGATCCAGATCACATAAAATAGAAAAAAACTATTTTGAAGAATGTAAGGAAAAAATTCAAATATCATAATATCACATAAAAAAAAATCTAACAATAAGAAATAACATAATAGTAGAAACAATCATATCCAAAGAGATGATAAAAGAACTAGCCAAGTAGATCTCGATTCATATTGATTTAGACAATAAGAATATATTCGATAAACATAAAATTAGAAATTATTCGCTAAATAGACAAAGATACAAATTAAATTGATGCATAATCTTATAAAAAATCTAAACGGTGGTGAAGATGAGCATAGATCTGAGTGTATATGAGCGTAGATCTAGGTGAGAACACAATGAGAGCTGGAGATGCTGTGGAGCGAGATGTGACCAACACGAATCTTGATGCCATGAGCACGAATCTATGTGTAAACTTTTCATTCGTTTACTTGCTCCTTCATCCTTAGAAATCACAAAAACTTGTACTGTTCACTTAGTTTACAATACTTTCTAATTTTTTTATCCTAAATTTAAAAAAATCACATCTTTTACGCACACATTCATTTGAGGAGATCTCCCACTTGTCTCACTCGCTTTAAAGCTTAGTGTGCGTACTAATTATTCATTCAATTTAATGGGCAAATTTCAACAATTAATTTGGACTTAATTACCTTATTCGAATTTCATACCCTCGTGTTGAAATATTTATCTTGTACTTGCTAAATCTACTTGCTAAATTCATTTCTTGGCATGCATACTGCTCTTCTTACATATTTGAAGTATGCACTTGTCATCATATGTTCAAGTGTAAATATCATAAATGATATATAATCACATATCATTATCAACATATTTGAATTTGCTAAGAGAAATGTGCCTAATAAAAATGATGAGTTTTATTATTGTCTGTAACTTCCTGAGTTTTTAGTCTTGAAGTTTAGAGACTTTTAAGCTTGGATTAGGGTGATTAAGCATCAAATTGTGTGGTAATAAAAGCAAATGTTATTGCTTGATGTTAATTGAGATATAAAAATACGAGGATGATGATAGGAAGCCATGTGTCTTAGCCTTTTTTGAGAAATCTTGAAATTTGGAAATTTTAAAGAGTCAAATAATAATATTTCTCAATTATTCTTTTTGAATTTGAAAGTAGACAATTTGACCTTTCAAAAAATCCTAATATACAAATTTTGAAAATGTATAGAATTAATTGTGAAAATTTGAAGTTAGGCTATCTTGTTACCTATAAATTTTTGAGCAGCTTTTGTACATCACCGTTTACTAGGAACAAATAATAATATTTTTTTAATAATTCTTTTTGCATTGAAAACTAAACATATCACACTTTCCAAAGAATCATAGTTTGTAATTTTTGGAAGTGTATGGAATTAATTATGAATTTTGAAAATCAAACCACCCTTGCTCTGTCATTGGATGTGACAAACTACACTTTTGGCTATGGCGGACATCATAGAACCACTATATCAAATGCAATTTTCAGTTGAGAAACATAAGTTTTGAAGAAGGGTTTGTGGTGGAATGTCTTAGCTCTGCTAAGGCTTAACATTTTTTGCTTCAAGGAGTTTTTTGAGCTTCCAAACCTTTAAATAAGTGCTTCTAACCTCTTTTCTACTTTTTCCTCTTGGATAGTTAGATCTTAGGGTTCTTCAATGATTTTAAATGAGTTGAGGTTTTGACCAATTATTTTGAGTTTAAATGACTTATATAGAGTAGAGTAAATGTTTAATGCGTTTAATTTTCTTGGATTTGGAGCTAAAGTTTGTGATTTTTGAAGGTTTTTGATAGCAAATGATAATGTGATGATTCAAAATGAGTTCTCAGGATTAGATCATGTTAATATTGTTAGGATTAAGGTTTTGATGATAACAAAATAAGAAATTTGTGTTTCAGTATGTTGATCGATCAGATGATCGATCAAGGACTTATCGATAAGCTGATAGATAATATCTCTGTACAATCAAGTAACTTAGCAGAAACTTTAATTGATAACTTGTTAGATAATGTGTTCATTGATCAATTGATTGATCATTGTTAGCTTAGTTGTGCATGAAAGTCTGGGGTAAATTATCGATCACTTGATCGATAATCAAGATGATCGAACATCTGTCGGATAAAGGGATATAAATCTGATAGGAAATTATCGATCACATGATTGATAAACAGATCATCGATAAGAAGACAAATAAATAGTAATGCGCTCTACTCATTCTATGTTTTGCTTTAGTCACCATTTTTTGATCACCTTATCGATCAGTCATTTATCGATAATATGATCGAACATTGCTTCATAACACTCTTTGTGTAGGTACTTATTTGAGTAGCTTATCGATCACCTGATTGATTAGTAAATTATCGATCACATGATCGATCATTGGTACATTGCTCTTATTTTATGGTTCTTCGATCACTAGATCGATAATCAGATTATCGATAATATGATTGATCATCGCACTTACATGTCTACCTTGTTTTTCACATAACGTGATCGATAAATTAGTTCTTTGACTTTATAGGATTAAACCTCTTTATCGATCATTCATTAATCGATCACCTATTCAATTAACCCACATAGCCTATGTTTTCACTGAATATACTTCTGTTTATTGTTTATCGATAAGGTTATCTATCATCTATTTATCGATAATGTATTTGAAAATTATTGCTTTAAAATCTATTTCAATAACACCGTGTTTATCGATAACCTGAACGATCAACAAGTGTTCGATCACTTATTCGATCATGGAGCAATTTCAGTTTAAACTTCAACCAGTCACGATAGTTCTCAAAATTTATCATCTATTTCATTCGAGCTTTTCTCAACCTTCATGTTTGTCTTAATTCTCTATTTAAAGAGATTCAAAATCAAAAGTGACCTTGATCTTCTTTTTCTTTGCATATCAGTATAAAGTCACTGTTTTATTTTATCGATCACCTGATCGATAAATCATTAATCCATCACTTGATCAATAAACTTAGTCATCTGTCTCAAAAGCTCTTACCCTGAATAATCGATAACCTGATCGATCAACCAGTAATTGATCAATACTTCGATCAAGCATGTCGAATTATTACTCAGCACATTTAACAACTGAATGATTCTACTTGTAAACTATGAATGTTCATTTTATCATTTGTTTGGTTTTGCTTTTGATCTTACTCTGCAAAGAAAAACTTATTGAATTAATGTATTATTGCAGATTACAAAGAAAAAACCCAACAGCTCTCCAATAGTTATTTAAGTAGCCTGTAACCTATCTTGTCAGAAGCATTAATGGCGAAAACTGTTGCAACTAGAAAAACACACAACTAGACTCTCAACGGCTAGAAGCTCTTCTGTCTAACGGTTACTAAACTACCTCAACTATAAAAGGCGTGAAGAAGTATTAAATAAACAGATTGAATACGCGAGCTACCCTCTGTTGATTATTTACTATTATATTCAATACTCTGTTCTTCCATACACTGAGCTTCAGTGATTATCATTTATTCACTCTGTAAGAGAGGTTATATCCATCATCATTAATCATGTTCTATGTGAAACTCAAGAGTGTAGACTCTTGAGTGGGATTGTAACCTTATGGGTAGTAAGGGGGAGTGATTGAGAGTATCAATTACTGTACTCTAGCACCAAGAGCCTGATCAATCTTAGAACATAGTGGAATACTCAGAGGTATTCTGAGGACCGGACGTAGATCAAATGGTTGAGACCGAACCAGTATAAATTCTGTGTCCACTTTTCTACAGTGAAATCTCTCTAACTTATACTCTCTGTTTCTGTTAGTTCATCGTTTTAATTTTGCAAAATTTTTATAACTCACCCAATTCACCCCCTCTTGAGTGAGACTGCCATTAATATTTGGTATTAGAGTAGGTCTTTTCAGTAAAGACTTAACAGTCTGAAGAGAGATCCCATGGCAGGATTCGGAGACAGCCTGCTACCCGAAGGGTGTTCAACATCCAAACCGCCTGGCTTCAATGGAGAAAACTATACCTTCTGGAAGATAAGGATGAAGATCTTCATCAAGGTGACTGAGCATATTATGTATCACACCTTACTTATGTAATACCTTAGCATTCCTTTAGAGCCATTTCAGACCACTTTGGATGGTCTAAAACTTAAAAATTTCAATTTGGACGTTAATTTTCAGAAAATTACTGTTCATTGTCCAGTTTTCAGATTACAGGTCCAACTTTGAAAAATCATAACTAATTCTAGAAAAATTGTATAGAGGTGTTCCAAAATTCTACAGAAAGCTCTTTCAATGCTATTTAAGGGAAAAATATTCAA